CTACTAAGTTACGATTTAAAAGCATTAGTGATCTAAAAAAAAAACATTAGTGATTTAACCTTAGTTCTTTTTTTAAAAACACTGTGAATTGATTTGTCATTTACTAAAAGTATAACTATGTGTCTGAGGTGTTGGTGATCAGGAAAATTATTTTAATTCATATTTTAATTCATTGGAAACATTGTAAACTATTGCCCCAGTCCATGTTAACTGCCACTACCCTTATATTTTCAGTTAGCTGTGTAGCCTACTCTGCCCAAAGCATTTTTTGATTTTTGCTTTTAATAATAACTTTACTACCCAGAATATACTGTATTTAAAAGCATAGTCTGTCAGCAAGTAATCATGAGTTTTTATGTAGGGTGCCTTTCTTTTGGTAGGAGTCAAGGAGAATCCTGTCTTCCTTCCAAAGTAAATTTGATTGTTTTATATTCCTGTTAAAATGATATACTCTTTGTGTACATGAATTTATATTCTATACACATTCACATGTGGAAGGTAGTAAAGGATCTGTGGACATCCATATATGTGGGTATGTGTGTGCTTATATATATTTTTTTAAATTTCTAGATTAAATATTGGATTGTTTAAAATATACTGTCATGAACTACTTTTTCATTTGACAGTGCTCATCAGAAGTATTCCATATCAATATCAATTTAAATATACACTGAGATTCTTTTTTTTTTTTTAAAGATTTTATTTATTTATTTATTTGACAGACAGGGAGAGACAGTGATAAAGGGAACACAAGCAGGGGGAGTGGGAGAGGGAGAAGCAGGCTTCCCACTGAGCAGGGAGCCCGATGCGGGGCTTGATCCCAGGACTCTGGGATCATGACCTGAGCCGAAGGCAGATGCTTAACAACTGAGCCACCCAGGTGCCCCTACACTGAGATTCTTAACGGATGCATAGATTACAACGTATCCATCCCCCTAAGATTGGACATTGAGATTGCTTTTAGTTATTTAATATTATAAACAGTGTTAAGTTGTGTAAGTGGATTTTTGTTCACTTATCTAATTATGTCCTTAGGATAAATCCTAAGTAGTAGAATTTCAAATTCAAAAGCTATCAGACTTTTAAGGCTTTTGGTATGTGTTATAAAATTGAAAAATTGTATCAGCGTTTGAGAACATCCATTTCTCTTTACCCTCATTGACACTGGGTATTCTAATAATTAACCTTTATTTTTTTCCTCAACTTTAATTTGGAAAAATTTCAGAGTTCAGAAGGATTGAAAATATGGTACAATGAACATTAATATATCCTTCATCTCAATTCACCAAATGTTAACTTTTTGAAACTTGTTTTCCCTTTTTTCTGAAAATTTTAAAAATAAAATAATTTGTTCTTAATTTGATGTATCCTGTGGACTTCAGCCCTTATTCCAGTAATGTACGGAATACATAGCATTGCTAGTTCAGGTACTACAGTCTACAGTTTTGCTTTAGTTAGTGGCCAAGTTTTGGGCAAGGAGAAATTCAATTTTTAATAGCACCATGGAAGTATCATGGTTTGGGTTTCAACTTTAATTAGTGTATTCTTTTGACAAATATAAATAGTAATGAAATATAAATTTTAAATGTGTGGGGGAAAACATAATATGGCTTATTTCTTCTTGAAAATAACAGTGATTCAAATATTTTATTCAGATTTCCCTATGCCTAATGAGAAACATGATGCGGAACTTGAGTCTCCACCTGCAAAGAAAAAAAGAATAGGTTTTTTCCAGACTTATGATGCGGAATATTTAAAAGTTGGTTTTATTATCTGTCCAGGATCAAAAGAAAGTTCACCAAGGCCACAATGTGTCATTTGTGGAGAAATTTTATCCACTGAAAACATGAAGCCAGCAAATCTTTCTCATCATTTGAAGACAAAACATTCAGAATTAGAAAACAAACCAGTAGATTTTTTTGAACAAAAATCTCTTGAAATGGAATGTCAAAATAGTTCTTTAAAAAAGTGTTTACTAGTTGAAAAGTCACTTGTGAAAGCTTCTTACTTAATTGCTTTTCAAATTGCTGCCAGCAAGAAGCCGTTCTCCATTGCTGAAGAATTAATTAAACCATATTTAGTAGAGATGTGTTCAGAAGTTTTGGGTTCAAGTGCTGGAGACAAAATGAAAACCATTCCTCTTTCTAATAATACGATTGGACACAGGATTGATGAACTGTCTGCAGACATTGAAGATCAGCTGATTCAAAAAGTCAGAAAGTCCAAGTGGTTTGCCCTTCAGGTAGATGAATCATTAGAAATCTCAAATATCACCCTTCTTTTGTGCTATATTCGTTTCATTGATTATGATTGCAGTGATATAAAAGAAGAATTACTATGTTGCATTGAAATGCCTTCTCAAATAACTGGCTTTGAAATATTTGAACTAATAAATAAATACATTGACAGTAAATCTCTGAATTGGAAACATTGTGTTGGTCTCTGTACAGATGAGGCGGCAAGCATGACTGGCAGGTGTTCTGGTTTCAGGGCAAAAATTCAAGAAATTGCCACAAATACAGTGGCATTTACACACTGTTTTATTCACCGTGAACATTTAGCAGCAGCAAAGTTGTCTCCATGCTTACATGAAATTCTTTTGCAGTCAGCACAAATTTTAAGTTTTATAAAAAGCAATGCATTGAATTCACGAATGTTAACAATTTTGTGTGAAGAAATGGGATCTGAGCATGTGAATTTACCACTTCATGCTGAAGTACGCTGGATATCGAGAGGGAGAATTTTAACAAGATTATTTGAATTACGACATGAAATTGAAATTTTTTTAAACCAAAAGCATTCAGATTTGGCCAAATATTTTCTTGATGAGGAATGGGTTGCAAAGTTGGCTTATTTATCAGATATTTTTTCACTTATAAATGAACTCAATTCAAGTCTTCAAGGACCTATGACTACTCTCTTCAATTTGTATAATAAAATGGATATATTTAAGGAAAAGTTAAAAATGTGGTTGAAGCGCACACAAGAGAATGATTATGACATGTTCCCTTCATTTTCCGAATTCTTAAACTCATCAGACTTAAATATGAGAGGCATTGCAAACATTATTTCTGAGCACCTGGAAGGACTTTCTCAAATGTTCCATGACTGTTATCCACCAGAAGACGACTTGCGTTCAGGAAATTTGTGGATAATTAATCCTTTTATGAATCACCAAAATAGTAATCTCACGGACTTTGAAGAAGAAAAACTAGTACAGTTATCTTCAGATTTGGAATTACAATCAGTATTTAAATCAATGTCTGTAACTCAGTTTTGGATAAATGCAAAGACAAGTTACCCAGAGCTCCATGAAAAGGCAATGAAGTTTTTGTTGCCTTTTTCAACTATTTATTTATGTGATGCTACATTTTCCGCTTTGACGGAGTCAAAACAAAGAAATCTGTTGGTTTCTGGTCCTGCTCTAAGACTTGCAGTCACATCTTTAATTCCAAGGATAGAAAAATTAGTAAAAGAGAAAGAATAGTAACATGGCTATTGCTTATTATCACAGTCTATAATTTTGTGTTAAATTTTCTATAAGTACCCTAAAATATTTCCTAATGTGGGTATGTGTTTTCAGTGATTAAATAAGTGTTTTAGTAATTTTTCTTTTTGTTGAGGAATTTAATAATCATGCATTTATAAATTGTTATATATAATTTTATTAGTCCAAGGTAGAGAATTTAGCTGTTTGATCGATTGATTGGATAATCTGGATTAGGGACAAAAATGACGGTAACAAAAGGCCCGTTTATAATGTCCGGGCACACCTGGATGTTGAAACCGCTTGGCCTTTAGAAACACATGGGACGTTGCAGTCTTCAGCCAGGCAGCCCCCCCACCCCAGCAGGCTGTGGGTTTGTACAAAACCCAGATCCGAGCTGCTTGGCTAACCCAGAAATGGAAGCAGCAGAGTTTGAGACCCTTTGTAGGGGTCTCTGTGGCCCTCTCCACCAAGGCTTGGCAAACTTTTTCCATAAAAGGCCAGATAGTATTTTAGATTTTGCAGGCCATATGGTGGCAACTACTCAGTTCTGCGGTTGCAGCCCAAAAGCAGCTGTAGGCAATACACAAACGAGTGTGGCTGTTTCAATACAACTTTTTATTTATGAACATGGAAATAATACAGTTTTCATGTGTCATGAGAGCTGCCTTTAAATTTTTTTGTATCATTAAAAAATGTAAACAAACATTGTTAGCTGGGGAGGGGGAGGAAGTGAAAAAACCAGACAACTGACTAAATAATTTGGCCCACCCTTTGTCTATCTGGGTGTAGACAGATCTCCAGGTAATAGCAGATGGGCCAGCAGTGGCCTCTAGAGTTTTGTTCCGTGGAAGTCACTCTTCCCGCAGCTGCAAGTGTCTGAATTTTTAAACACTTTTCACATTTTAATTTCAGCTGAGAGAAATTCGAAGGAAAATATATTTTACGCAAAGATAGAAAGGAACAATTTATAGCTACTTGTTACTGATTACTAATGATTTCATAACTTACTTACAAATAACTTTTGAGCTCTTACATGTGCCAGGCATTGTGCTAGGCCTGTTCTTCAGAACTAAGAGGCTTATCCGCATTTACAGAGGCAGATACTGAGGCCCATCGAGGTTAGGTGGCCGTTGTGCTGGCAAAGCTAGGGAGGCTCAGGCAGGAAGGAAACCCCGGTCTTCTGCGAGGCACGTTCAGATACTCCTGTTGGACTTGACTCTGTACTGGTTGGGAGACAAGAGACTTCCCCTGAATTCAAAGGTACCCATTTAGTCAGTTGAGCCAGTGGGGCTCAGTGTCCCCATCTGTGAGATGGACAGAAAAGGGGGTGGCAACAGCCTCGGGAGGCGAGAAGCCGGAGGCTCTGGCGCGGGGCTTCTGTCCGCCCTGGGGCGGGAGGAACCGAGACGGCGGCAGGGGGCGGGGTTCGGCCGGGTCTCCCCTCCCCTCCCCTGCCCTGCCATCCCCTGCCCTCCCCTCCCCTTCCTTCTCCTTCCCGCCCCTTCCCTCTCCTCGCTACCGGAGGGCCTGCGCGGCCATGGCGCTCGGGCTCGGCGCTCTGCGCGTCCTGCTGGGCGGCTTCTTCGCACTCACGGGGGCAGCCAAGCTTTCGCAGCAGATCTCGGCTCCCGCGTCCCAGCAGATGGTGAGCGGCGGGGCGTGGGCGGCGGGCGGGGGGGGCGGGCGGCCGCGGTCAGTCCCCAGCCCGCCTGCCCGCCTGCCCGCCTGCCCGAGCCAGTGCCCCGCGGCCCTGCCTGCCTTACGGCGAGACGGCGCTAGAGCGGGGGCGGGGAGAGCACGTCGACCGAGACGTGGGCGCCTTCCTACAGTGCTCCTCGGAGTCCTCTGGCTCTTGCCTAGACGGAAGGGGACCGGGCCGATCTCCTTCCAGCTGAGCCCGGGGGGCCCCGCGCCAACCTAGGGCGTCGGGACCCAGCGGGAGGAAGATGGAATGAAATGGGGGACCCAGCACCCTCCCCGTCCCCTTCTCCTCCTTCGCTTGCTTGCGTTCTTGAGAGGTTCGTGAGGAACGGGTTTATTATTCCCCGCTTGGTGGAGTAGGAAACTCGCCCTGAAGGTGAAGTATATCTGCTAAAGGTTACACAGCTAGTCAAGACGCAGGAGCCAATCTAGACGCTCTCCTAACTCAGAATCTGGAGAGCCCTTACCGGGGAGCCTGAGAGGAAAGTCTACAAGCCCTCCTTCTGTCTCCTGGCTAGTTCCAGACTCTTGGAAAAGCTTTTTTGTGGTTATGCCCACCAATCCCTCCGCCCCTCAAGCCAGACTTGGAGACCCTGCAGCCTCCCTCTCCCAGACCTGGGTTCTGCCCTTCCTTCCTGGTTTAGGGTGGTGGATGGTTTGGGGAAGTACATCCCCAGAGCCAGACAGCTTAGAGCTGCTTCCTTGCAGCAGAGTAGGGAAGGTAGAGCTGAGGTGGGGAGTAAGAGGGCAAGAAGGGGTAGCCGGCCTGAGGGTGAAGTTGTCGTGTGGCCCACATCAGAGCCTGACTCAGCAAAATGAGCCTCTTTGAGCTTCTTACCCACTCTTGTGTCTGCTGCAATGGGACCCAGGCCCAGCATACCATATTCAGAATGGGATCTGTTGAATAAGCAACAGTCTACTCTTTCATCCTCTCCCCCACCTCCCAATATTCCCAGCATAGTATCCTCAGGAAAACCAGGCCAGGCAGCAAGAAAGAGAAGCTGTGGCATGCCTAACTTCCTGGTCTTGGACTTTGCAAAGGCTGGGGTGTAATCCAATGAGAGTCTGGTGAGAAAATCAGTTCTCCTCTGCGCCAACATTCAGCCATTCTCCTTGGAGCATAAAGCCTGTTTCCTGATTCCAAAGCTCAGTCCCTCAGGGAGGCCTTCTCCTCTCTAGATGGACCTCAGCCCTGGACCTGACCTACCTAGATCGGTAGCTCCTTTGTCGGGGGAGTTGAGGGTGCAGACACAGAATGCCCCTGTGGAATGCCTAGGCAGTGGATCCTTGAGGGGCTGACAGGCATTCCTTGCCGCCCCTAGAAAGCCCTGTTTGTGCAGTTCGCTGAGGTGTTCCCGTTGAAGGTGTTCGGCTACCAGCCCGATCCCATGAACTACCAAGAGGCTGTGGGCTGGCTGGAACTGCTGGCTGGGCTGCTGCTGGTCCTGGGCCCACCGATGCTTCGAGAGATCAGTAACTTGCTTTTGACCCTGCTCATGATGGGTAAGGGGGTGCAACTGTGCTGGGGAGATGGGGACTTCTGGCAGAGGGTAATAGAAGATCTGGCAGTTCCCTTTACTGTTGCCTCCTTTCCTTTTTTTCTGGAACCAGGAGCATTCCGTGCTCTACTGCAGTTTCCACTTTCTTCAGACTAGGACAGGTGCTTTTTAAACTTAATATACTATAACATGATTCTATGTCAAACATAACTTCCCACCTCACTGATTCAATTGGCTGCAGGGTATCCCCATGGTAAGGATGTCTTGTAACTTAAAAGCCCCTACCCCTCCCTCCTCACCCCTACCCTTGAGCCGAGGGGATGGAGTAGCAGCTGCCTGTGGAGTTATGTGTCTGGCAGGTGGGAACAGAGAGCAAGGAAGCTGGGCCGGCCCCCTGAACAGAAAGGCAGAGAATTTCCCTGTGACAGGCAGTCCTAGAGGAACCCCTCCTAGCTGCTCTGCCCACAGGAACTGCTGACGTACAAAGACAGCTGCTGCTTTCAAGGGTCAGACGTCTTCAGGCTCGGCTCTACCCCCTGGCCTTGTGTCACCATGGCGGCCATGCCTGCTGTCCCTCCCCCAGGCCTTTCTATCTCTGGAGCTTCCCTCATCTTCATTGCCCATACCTCCACCACTAACCCCGGGGCCGCCACCTCTCCGGTAGGATTAAGAAGAGAGAAGGAGTGGGCGCCTGGGTGGCTCAGATGGTTGGGCGTCTGCCTTCGGCTCAGGTCATGATCCCGGGGTCCTGGGATCGAGTCCCGCATCGGGCTCCCTGCTCCTTGGGAGCCTGCTTCTCCCTCTGCTTCTCTCTCTCTCTCTCTGTCTCTCATGAA